GACTAGAGGTGGTGTAAGAGGTGGTGTCAGAGGTAGTAGAGGTGGTGCAAGGGGTAGTAGAGGTGGTAGAGGGGGTAACAGAGGTGGTGCAGTGGGTAACACAGGTGATGTAGTGGCTAACAGAGGTGGTGGAGTGGCTGAAGTTGGTGGAGTGGCTGAAGTTGAAGGTGGTGGAGTGGCTGAAGTTGAGGATGACACTATTCCTGAAAAATATTTAGTCCATTTATGGAAGGCAATGCAAGATTTGAAACAATCACGGTATTCAACTGAAGAAATTAAAAAGTCACTTAGTCTGACAGATTCACATATGAAACAACTCAATGATTACAATGACACTATTGAACAAGTTCTTCCTATGTCTATGGTAAACCCTCTATATTACCTTAATGTTTACATTCGTTTATGTTATTAATTGCTTGATGTTTTATAGGAAGAGGAGTATCCACCTCAGACAGAGACACAAGATGGGGATGAAGAAAATATCCCTGAGACACAACCAGAAAGTGAGGAAGAAGAAGAAGGCATTAATGACACCCATGAATTACCAGTACACCTTAGGATTGTGAAAAAAAGAAGGCCCTCTGAGAGGATTGTTAAAACCAAGCTGAAGAAGATGGGATGTGTTGGGACTTCTTCAAATTCACCATTGGAGTTGGATTAGGGTGTTAGGGTGTTAAGGGTAGTAAGGGTATTTTGGTACATCTTTTGTGAATGCTACTTTTGTGCATCTTTTGTGAATGCTACTTTTGTATATCTTTTGTGAATGCCCTTAAATTACTGATAACCATATTTTGTACATCTTTTGTAAACACATTGAAACATTGTGAATGCCCTTAACATGGTTGGTAATGACATATTGGAGTTTGTTGTTTAATTATTTTAGCCACATTGAAACATTGTGAATGCCCTTAATATGGTTATATTTGTCAAGTGTACACCATTTATGCAAACCAAGAAGGGCACCAGCAACACCTCTGTAGTAAGATCTTGTTATTGATCTAAATGATTCTTGACCATCCTAACAAATATATAAAGAAAAAAGAAGAGATTTTTTTAAGATTTCTTTTTATAATAAATGTAACAAGAGAATAAGGTATAGAAGAAAAGAAGGAGACAAACTGTGTCCCAGATTTGGAGCTTTATTGGTTTGTTGTCAATGGTGATCATTTTAGTCCCAAATTCAACACCAATTGTTAAATCATGGTTATATTTGTCTAGTGTACACCATTTATGCAAACCATAATAACATATTGCCATTTCATTAACCGAAACATTAAACTATTACATCAAAATTTATCTATTACATCATGATGATAACAAACCAAAAGATTACATCATCCCTACCATACCATAATACCCTACAACTTACACTAAACTAACCATACATCATCCCTACAATGAAACAAACAAAACAAACCATCATCCACTTGCAGAATCCAAATTCATTACTAGGCACATGTGTATTGTCACACATTGCAATTTGATTATCAGGTTCAAGAGCATTCGCAGGGGCAATAGGGACATCAACATTCACAGGGGCAATAGGGCCATCAACAGGTATTTCACCTTCATTAACAGGGTTATTAAAAGGAATAGCTACACCCCCATTAGCAACAGCTCCTAACTCATACATTCTTTCTTTATACCACTTATTCAATAGTGGTGGGTCAATCCAACGAAAATACCCACAGTCCTTCTCTTCATCCTACATAACATAGCAAGATGCATGTTTTTAACATAGAAAAATGGGAAATTTAGAGGATTAGAAGAATTTGAGTGAGTTTTGAAGATTCTATACCATGTAATTTGGGCAACCAAAAAACCTCCGACCTGGATTCTTTCGAGTCCATGATGTCCACATCCCAACCGTATCTCCACAATAGCACGTTCTGATGTTGGTGCTTGACGAACTCGACATCGATTTCCTGTTGCCAATTTGCCCTAATCGTTCGCTCCTTTGACTGGAGATTGAAGAAGACGAGCTCGATTCAATGATTTAGCCCTCTTAAATGGCATGTAGGATGTTATTTCACATGATGACTTCCACGTAAGCTGCCACATCAGTTAGATACCGGCTAACCTATTAAATATCTCGTTTTGATTACGTTTACAGGTATTTAGGACTAAATTGCAAAAAAAAATATAAGGGCTAAATCGATTATACGGGCAATACTTAGGGACTTTATTGCAGTTTTCCCTTATTATTCCTTATATTATTCTCATAATATATTAATAATATCTATTCTCTCATAATAAATCATCCTGTCAAGTTGCATGGTGAAGGCAACCCAAAAGGACCATGCACAATCGGGTCAAATACTTGCCTAATATAGTTGCAGCCTTAGACACTATTCCAACAATAGTTTTATTGGTAACCCAATACGTTGCAGGCGAGGAGATGAAGAAGACCCGATACCAAGACATACTAAGATCAGATATCATGGAGTTTGTTAGTTTTTCCGCATGTCCGCCATTGGATGACATGATAGCTAGGGCCAGAGAGTGGGAAATTGATTTGAAGCATATATGGAAGAGGAAGGCAGAGCTGGGGCAGACAACGAGGGTTTTGGCGAAGAAACCCAACGTTCTAGACCGAAGGGCCAGAGGATCGGGGTCGCTGTGGCAAGTGTGGCAGGGCGCATGACGGAGTCTACATGACGGGGGGTTCGGGCTTCCATAAGTCCTGCAATCCAGGACACTTCGACATGGATTGTACCGCTACTACATGGTAGTAGGGGGGTTCGGGCTGCTATAAGGGCCATTAGAAGGCCGATTATCTGAGTTTAGCAGCGATGAGACCAATAGCGGCACCTGCTCCGACGGCCTTGAGGATCACTGATGGCTACCAGGGTAAGGCGGAGGCGCCAATTATTCGGAGTAGGGTATTTGAGCTGCCAGCCGAGGATGCTAGTGCAGCACCCGATGTGGTCATCTTCTCCTTACCTTTTTATTTATGTTATTTAACATGCTTATATGTCTCTATTTCTATTGGGTTAATGTCACTGCAACCCTACCAACTATCAGGTTCTATTTTAAATGGTCCTTCATGTTTTTTTTTGTCTTTTAGGGGCATAAAGTCCATTTTTACCTATTAAAAAGAACCTTAACCTGTAATTACCAGTTTCCTTATTAACGTGGCTTTTTCACTTAAAATCGAAATTAAACTAAAATCCTCCTCACATCTTTATCCATCGTCTTCTTCTTCCACAAAACTAAAATCCTCTTCAAAGCTTTGATATTGCTCCCATTCACAAAACCAGCCACCATTCTTCCTCTAACAACATAAGTCCATCATAATCGACCCAAGAATGCCATCTAATCTGTGTACATCAATATGTCTACCGCTAAACATAGCGGGAACAACGATATCATGACTTCCGACTGTAATCAGCGATCTCAGATATTTGTGCTGCAAAGAGATGGTTTTGAGATCTGTTTGTCAAAAACAAGAACCATAGTAAACCTGAACCAAATCAAACCTTCTAAGTTTTTATTGCTGGCGACTGTTTTTGAAACTTAAGAAACAGATGCAAGAATGAAAATGACAAAACTCAAAGATTTGTGTCAGTTGACTGAATCTCCCATTCATTTTCATCTTTGGTGCAGGGACTGAGCTCGCGTTAATGGAAGTCCCCTCTGGTGTTCTCTTCCTCTTGCACATTTTGTTTTCGTTTTTTCCCGATTTTGTTCCAAATCTAGGTTTGATTTGCTTCTTCTGATCTTGAAAAAAAGATAATGACAGATAGCGGAAGATGCTGGTGGTGAACAACATAAGATGTTGGTGGTGGGCGATGCTTGTTGGTTTATGGATTCGAATCTAAACCCCAAAAATGGAGTTTCAAACTAAAGATGTAGGTGATGGGTTGAAATCAAACATTTATTCATACTGTTCATAAAACATTAAAAAAATCTATTTAATTTTTTAATCTAGAAAACAAAAGTACGATATAAGATATTGAAGGGTTTACTGTTATGATGATGCTATTGTGATCAATGATTCTTTAAGTAATGAGAGAGAGAGAGAGAGAGAGAGAGAGAGAGTCAAAATCATTACCGCACATGTGGACCAATTTCAAATGATGTGGCAGTAAATCATTTTGACTAGACAAATGTTTACCGGATGACCACTTCCATTATCTGATAATGGTTTTTTTAACATATTAAAATGGACTTGCCCTTAGAAACCAAAAAATAACATTAAGGGCGTGTTTGACTTAGCTTTTAAAAGCTAAAAGTTCTTTTCCAAAAAGTTACAAAAAGTCATGAAATCCTGATTTTTCTAAAAAGTTGCTTTTCCTTGTTTTAAAACTAAAAAAATTACTAGCTTGCCAAACATTTTTCTTTTCTTTTCTTTTCTTTTTTTTTTTTCTTTTTTTTTTTTACAAAAAAGATTTTTAACTGTGAAAAAATAAACCAAAATCCCCTAGATTTTTTAAATTAACACATAAAAGTTTGTAGGGCTGACATTTTTAGGACGTTCCTTGTGAACATTGATTTTGTTCTGTAGCTAGATCCTTTGCTTAGCACGAGGTTTGACGATAGATTTGGATTATCCATTAGATGTTAGATTGCTAACAACGGTCCGATATGAGTATCGAGGGTAGGAGGGAATAGCGCCGGTGACTGAGAACGAAAGGAACCCAGGGTGACACCAATTCAATAGAAGGGAATGAGCGGGAGTTCGGCTATTCAAGTGATCGATAACCGCTGAGGAGTAGAGGGCCGAGCCCAGAGGAAGATATGATATGTTGGCTTTGTGATGATGACCGTTGCTATTCAATTCGATTCTTAAATCGATTACTACTCCAAATTGATTTGTGATTTGACTTTCGCATTGATTTCAGATTTGGCTCCAAAATTGGCACCAGTGACGCCATGCCCACATAAGATAAGATCAATTACTACTACTACTACAAGAAGCAGAAGAGAGCCCTCTTTCCCCTTTGGTCTTCCACTTCCACAAGCAGATTTTTTTTCTTCAAATTCCTCGACGAATTCACATGAAACTCCGTCCTTTTCATGATATCCAGCACATCTATCCTTTTAATGCTTCATTCAAGATCCATTTATTTTCCAGCCTCTCAAAACCCACTTGGAATTCATCACAAACCAATCTCTCCATCACAAACCCAACTCTATTAGCTGTAGAATCATGCAATTCCATGGCCCAGTTGAGGCAAATTCAAGCACAATATACTAGAACCGGCCTCCTTTTCCACGTTTTCCCTGTCAGCAGAATCTTAACCTTTTGTGCTCTATCAGACACTGGAGATCTAAAGTATGCTCATCGCCTTTTCAACCAGTTCTCTAATCCCAACGTTTATATGTGGAACATCATGATCAGAGGGTATCTAAAATCACATTTGAATGTAAAGGGGTTGTCTTTATTTCGCTTAATGGTTCGAAAGTGCGTGGAAATGGACAGGAGGAGCTTTGTGTTTGGATTGAAAGCATGCGAGTGTTTACGAGCGGGGGAATCGTTACATTCTTTGGTTTGGAAAGTGGGTTTTGATTGTGATTTGGTTGTGCAAAACGGGTTGGTTCACTTCTACGGTGAGAGAGGACAGTTGTGTTGTGCACGAAAGGTGTTCGATGAAAGTTGTGAGAGGGATGTTTTTTCTTGGACTAGTTTAATAAATGGGTACGCGAAACAAGGCATGCCAGACGAGGCATTGCGAGTTTTTGAGTTGATGGAGGCTAGTGGGGTTCAACCTAATGAGATCACGATGATAGCAGTGTTTTCTGCTTGTTCTCACAAACAGGACTTGGAGTTGGGGAAATTTATACATGATCATGTCAAAAGAATGAATCTGAATACGAGTCTCAATCTAATGAATTCGATATTGGATATGTATGTGAAATGTGGTTCTTTAGTTACTGCTAGAGAGATGTTTGATAATATGAGAACCAAAGATGTTTTCTCATGGACGAGTATGATAAATGGGTATGCCAAAAACAATGAGCTGGTTTCAGCAAAGAAACTGTTCGATGAAATGCCTGAGAGAAACATTGTATCTTGGAATGCTATGATTGCAGGCTATTCACAAAACAACAAACCAAAAGAAGCTCTAGAACTCTTTCTCGACATGGAAAATGAAGGTTTGGTTCCTATAGAGAGCACTTTAGTATGTGTGCTCTCTGCTTGTGGTCAATCAGGTTGCTTAGATTTAGGCCAATGGATGTACTTCTACTACATCAAGCAAAATCGGATTCAACCCACAGTGACACTAGGAAATGCATTCATAGACATGTATGCCAAATGCGGGAAGATTGATGCAGCAGAAGAGATTTTTAATGAAATCCATGATAAAGATTTAGTATCTTGGAACTCCATGATTGTGGGTTTTGCTTCCCATGGGCATGCAATCAAGGCTCTTAGTCTTTTCAAAGATATGATAGGAACAGGATTATACAAACCAGATGAGGTTACATTTATCGGTGTGCTATCAGCTTGTAGCCATGGAGGGTTACTCACCCAAGGAAGAAGCTACTTCAAAGAGATGGAAACCAGGTTTGGGGTTAAACCAAGAGTGGAGCATTATGCTTGTATGATTGATTTACTTGGAAGAATTGGGGTTTTGGATGAAGCTTATGAGTTGATAAAAGAGATGCCAATGGAAGCTGATAAAGTTGTTTGGGGAGCGCTTCTTAATGCGTGTAGGATGCATGGTGATGTTGATTTGGGTAAAATTGCTACTGAAAAGCTTCTTAAGTTGGATCCAAATGATAGTGGTGTTTATGTGCTTATGGAAAGTTTATGTGCTAGTAGATGTAAATGGGATGAGGTAAAGAAGATTAGAAGTGTGATGAGAGGGAATGGTGTTAAGAAAACACCAGGGTGTAGTTGTGTACAAGTGGAGGGTGTGTTTCATGAGTTCTTGTCTGCTGATAAAACGCATCCTAAATCGGAGAATGTATATCAAGTATTGAGTGAAATAACATCACTGTCGAGGTTGGATTGGAACAATTAATTTAAACAAGAGTAATTGTAATTGAGATACGATAATCAATTTATTTTTTCAACTAAAACTATTAAAATAATGTGCATATATATATATAGGAGGGAAGCAGTGCATTCATTTTAAAACTTTTATTTGGTCAAACTAAAATTCCTTTAAAGGTCAAAACATTTTTCGTCCTTGATCCCTCTCGATTTTGTTTTTTTAATTCTTATATAATAATATTTCATGAAGTTGAGAGAAAACGAATCCCCCCTCCTTTCTCTCCTTCAGCGAGAATACCGGATCATATATAAATCTCCAACTTTCCAAAAATCACAAACATTTTTATGATTATTCATTCTTCTTTCGGGAATCCAAAATAACCTGCAAACAAAAAAAATATGAGTACAGGGGAGCTTTTGAACGTCGAACCTACCGAGCTCAAATTCCCATGTAAGTTATCTAATGGCATCACATCATCGAATTAACCCCATAAATTTTTCTTCTGTTTATATATAAATAAGGTATATTAATTTTAATTCTTTTCGTTGCCTTTGATTGATTTGATTAGTTGAGTTAAAGAAACAGATCTCGTGCTCTCTCCAGTTATTGAATAAAACCGAGAATCATGTAGCTTTTAAGGTAATTCCTGTTCATGCTTAACGTCGATCTATTTCGTCCTGACTTGTGATATATAAAGAAGAGCGAGAGATTTTTTATTTTTTTTTTTATAATTAGAATAAAATGTGGTGGGATTTAAATAGATTGTGTTGCGTTCATATACATATATATAATCTGAATTTGGAGAAAATCATAATTTCAGGTGAAGACAACAAATCCAAAGAAGTATTGCGTTCGGCCGAATACTGGTGTAGTTATGCCACGATCAACATGTGACGTAATAGGTGCGTCAGTTTTTGTCATAAACTAAACTTTTTTTTTTTATCTGTTTTCTTTCCTATACCTAAAAATCAGAAACTTGTCTTGCGAAACACCAAACGATTTTGAACTAATCTTTAAAATGAAACCTTTCCCGCGTGCTTCTTTTTTTGCATTAATTAACGTAGCCCCCCCTTGCTTTTCCACATTTATACATCAAAGAAATTAACAACATAATCATATAATGAAATGAAGATAGGAGTCGTTAGCATTGAATATTAATTGATATGTTTGTGTTGTGGTTTTGGTTTTGCTACAGTTACCATGCAGGCTCAGAAGGAAGCTCCTCCGGACATGCAATGCAAAGACAAGTTTCTACTTCAGAGTGTAGTTGCAAGCCCAGGAGTAACCCCAAAGGACATTACCCCGGAAATGGTAAAATTAAAAACATGTAGCCATTAATTCGTATTCTGATTTGCTTGAGATTAATTAATTAGTAAAATGAATTTGTATTAATTTTTAGCTGATGATGATGGTTTGAGTTTACAGTTTAGTAAGCAGGCAGGACGTGTGGTGGAAGAGTGCAAATTGAAAGTGATATATCTTCCTCCACCCCAACCACCTTCACCTGTTCCTGAGGAACCTGATGAAGGGGCGCCTTCACCAAAGGTGTCCTTCACAGATGGTGGGATTAATATTAATACAAAAACTTCTGATCAGGTTGATTACACCTTAATTAATTAATTTCTTTTTCAAATACGTACTTACTTTCATCCATCTGTAACATCACATGATGATGATTCTTGTTCATGCTTGCAGGTTTCAAGACAATATGTGGATTCTGATGATAACTCCTCAGAGGTGAGTTTTCACAATCTCATGTTCATAATCTTTTTTATTTTTTTATTTTAACTATGGTAATATATATATATATATATATATATATATATATATATATATATATATATATATATATATATATATAAACATTGGTGAATTTGCAGGCAAGATCTCTCATCTCACAGTTGACTGATGAGAAGAATGCTGCTGTCCAACAAAGCAACAAAATTCGACAAGAAATGGTGAGACGACATTTATTCCTCATTTGAGCTTTTAAAGCCTTTTCTTTTTTACTTTATTAAACCTTTTTATGTTCATAATTTTTGCATCCTACTTGGTAAAACACACAGCAACTATTGACGCGTGGAGGAAACAACAAAAGCCAAGGGGGTGGTGGTGTTTCATTCATTGTCGTTATTGCCCTCGCCTTGATTGGTCTAGCTGTTGGGTTCCTCATCAAGAACTGACTCTTCCCTAAAAATTTTCAAAATTGATGTATGAAGGTGAAGAAATGCATGAGATTAATGTTTAACAATTATTTACCCTTGACATAGTCTTCTGGGGTTAGAAGAGAACTTTGTGTAGGTAGCTTTGTTTCATATTTGTTTCCATCTCCATTTAAATTTCATAATCAAATATCATATTCATTTTATTCTTCTTTTTCAAGTGATAAAGCGGACTCTTAGGGATGTATGTTATACAATGCATAAAGGGACGGGACTTGACAAGCCTTCTAGGGATACTTTCGTAGATGGAGAGGGGAAGGGCATTTACGTCTTTTTTCTAGACGAGAGATCATGAGCGAGTCCTTGGCCCACCTTTTTGAATGTGCAAAAAACTTGAATTTTTATTCCATTAACATGTGTCCCAGGGACGCCAAATGCTAATACAAATGGAAAGGATACACAAAATGCTTAGAAAACCGAAGAAACATCTAACCTATTATACTTGAATGCTTAGAAAAACCAATATATTATTTTTGTATCTATTAAAACCATTTGATTTTATGTTTATGGTTACATATATGCTCAGTGACAAGAAAACCTAAAGAGCTCGTCATTCCTTCGATCCAACCTATTATATGGAAAAATTCAAGAAAAAACTATTATACGTAACTGCTTAGAAAAACCATTTTTTTGTCTGTTTAAACCTTATAGTATTATAAACTAGTTGTTTCTGTTCTTTCTAGCAATGACCATGTGGCTCCGAAAATGTATATAGGTATAATAATGTTATTTATCGAGCTAATGTGAATATTGTCCGTTTTATATTCTACATGCATTCTTTTCCATTTTCTTCTAAAATATGATCTTAATCATTCAAATTGACGAGGTTTCTATAACTGATTACTAACATTGTACATTTTTGTTGTGTATTTATCAAACATGTGGATTTGTCCATTTTAAAATATGTTAATTCATTTTCTATGTTAACATGTAGTTTTCTAGAGGATTGTGTTCTTGCAAATCTCGATCAATTGGCTATGAATAATCATCACATCCCAAAATGTGGAAATCTTATGATAGGGTAGCATCCTTCCCCTTACTTTGACATTACCATCTGGTAGACATCATCTATATAATATAATCATATGTTTATAAGGAATATGAATCAAGAATCAAGATGTTATATTATTCTCAAACTCTACAATGTTGTTTTTTAATTATGATTCATTTTTCTCCTAACTTTCTCAATAATTTCTTCGAGATCTCATCTTCCCATTCAACATTACCATATTTTATTTTCAACGCAACCTTTATGAACCCTCCATTCCTCAATTTGTATTTCTTTCTTTCTTTTTTATCATACCAATTGTTATAGTAATTGATCTACGGCATGACACTTTTGTTCATCCCCTTACAATCTTTTGTTGTCAATATACAACATCTACAATAGAAAAAATGTTAACTATGAATCATTTTTATTATTTCTAGATTTATATGAAATGGTAATAAGGAGTCATTCTCACACCATTGATGCAAGGCTTGTGTAGAAACAATGTTGATCTAATTTCTAAACCTTTGGGTTGGAAATGGATCTTCAATAAGAAGATGAAGATAGATGAAACTATTGATAAGTTCAAATCCCATTTGGTCATTCAAGGGTTTAGACAAAAATCCGATGCTGATTATTTTGACACAAATGCGCCGGTGGCATGGATTTCTACCATTAGATTGTTGGATGTCAAAATCCTTTTTGAAAGGAGAGCTTGATGAAGAAGTTTACATGAGACAACCATAATGTTTTGTTAATGAGAATAAGGTGTGTAAACTTGTCAAATCATTTTATGGGCTAAAACAAGCACATAAACAATGACATCAAAAGTTTAATGAAGTTATTTTTCATGTGGTTTCAAAATGTGTTTATAGTCTGGTTGATTCATGTCGTTCCATGGTGATAATTTGTCTTTATGTTAATGGCATGTTGATTTTCGACACTAATCAACTTCAGTTGATGAAACTAAAAGTTTGTTGTCATCAAGGTTTTCCATAAAGCGCATGGAGGAGGTTGATGTGATCCTTGGTATTGGGATTAAATGGGTCAACAAGGGTATTTCTATGATGCAGACACACTATGTTGAGAAAATTCTCAAAAAGTTTAATTATAGTGATTGTTCCCCCATGAGTTCTCTCATGGATCCCATTGTGAAGTTAGTGCCAAACAAGGGCAATGCAATCACAACTAGAATACTCTCAAACGATAGGTTGCTTGATGTATGTCATGACTAGCACCCACCATGACATCGCTTATGCGATTGGGAAGTTGAGTATGTATACCAACAATCATAGTATGCAACATTAGGAAGCAATTTAGAGAGTGTTCAAGTACTTAAACAGAATCATGACTATGTTATCTAGGGTATCCTTTAGTTTTAATGGGATATTATCATGCAAGTTGGATAACCCATCTTGAAGATCATTCTTCTACAAATGATTAGGTATTTTTGCTTGGGGGAGGTGCTATCTCTTGGGTATCTAAAAGGCAAACTTGCATAACAAACTCAAATATAGAATTAGAAAGTTATTACATTAGCCACAACCGGTAAAGAAGCCTAATGTCTAAGCATAATCTAATGCTAATACCGTATATTTTGGTATATGTAAAGTACTTAGATATACAAATAATACCTAACTACAAAACTATATAATACCTAATTACGAAATACATGAATACCAAAAATGCAACCTATTTTAGAAATGTTCTTCAGGTATTATATTGGATTACATTTCAAACAATGTTTTCATAATACTTTAACTTAATAAAAAAAAGAACGAGTCTTATAACCTAAATACTACAAAAGACATGTGAAA